TGAAAGGAAATGCAGATAGGTCTCTTGTGATACAATAGTGAATAATTGCTATCAGGACTGACTGTGAGGGTTGGAAATGTAAAGGTAGATGTTTTATAGCAAGGAGGGGAGTGATTGACTTTGCAGTCTAGGAGTGGAGGTCCCTGGGACCATCGAGAGAGAAGAGCGGAGAGCAAGACCCTACCCCAGAGAAGCAGTAACGCCAGAGATGGAGGCAGAGATGATGACGTGGAGAGATGGAGCGGCTGGGGACTGTAGACCCAGAGAGGGAGAGGGCTGTGTGCTGATGATTGGCGGGGGGAGGGGGGTAGGATTGAGGATATACCCTTTGGTTGGTTGATGATGCATGGAGGGGATTGTAACCATGGCAATTAAATGATATACGATTGGATGAATGTAAAATGAATGTTCTCCCATGTAAACTATCACATAATTCACAATAAAACATTAAAAAAATTTTAAAAAGAGTGCTTTACATAATTAGGAGCCCTGGTGGCTCTGTAGGATGAGCACTGGACAGCTAACCAAAAGGCTGACAGTTCAAACCCACCAATCACTCCTAGGGAGAAAGATGAGGCTCTCTTCTCCCACAGAGATTTATAGCCTCAGAAACCCTGTACAGGGGCCACTGTGAATTGGAATGGACGCAGTGTCAGTGAGTTTGGAGTTTTGACTTTTACAAAATTAGTCTTTATGATATGCTTCTCAGTTACTCATAGTATTTCTGCCCTTTGTCACTTTAGCTCTCTGTCATTATGGTGACATTTTCCTGGAGGTAAGAATCCTCATTATATTATTTCTACACCAGAAACTGCTAATCAGTTCTTATTTGATTGTTTTCTGCTGTCAGTCTACTGAGTCAGAGACCAAATCACACGCGGAAAGGTGAAAAACACACTGGGTACCAACTGCAGTCTCCCACATAACTGACAGAAGCACATCTCCTTCTATTTTGGAAGATCCATCCTCCTGACTTGAAGTCACCAGGATTGTCAGAAAAACAAAATGACACAAAATATACGCTTTGTTAAAATCCCTTCACAGAAAAAAACACAGAAACAGGAAGATGTGAATTTAGCTTAATGACAAGACTTAAAGGCTTGGTTTTATTTTACTGAGTGCCGAATCGTAAATTGGCTTCATGTTAATAAATCACAATCCTCTTCACTGGTTGATCTTCGAAAACTATTGGATGCCTTTCTTGCTGTGTGTCTCCCATTGTTGACCACCTTTATGCCTTGGCATAAACTCTCTCCTCTGCCTGAAATGCCCTTGCTACTTGTTCTCTGAGTACAGGCTTTCTCTTCTATTCAGTTAATCCTTCTCTGTGATGTTTCCTTTTGCCCAGCGTTTTTTTTCTCTCTCCCTGTCCATTTCCCCCAATCAGGTGAGCTGGTTTCACCCACTGAGCCCTTCCCTCCCATCCATCCTCAGCGTTTGCTGTTCTTCCACTCACAATAGTGCGATGGACTCACCTTTCTCCCACCAGGCCATCTGAGGGCTCCTTGAGGGCAAAAATTCTAGAGCCCCGTCCCTTAGCCTGGTCAGCACTGAATTTAATCTAGATGCTACTCAATCCTGAGTGGAGTCTCAGTTTTCCTACTTTCTACATTTAATCTGCTTCACTTCTTTTCCATTTTAGTGTGTTTCCTAGTCTCTTTACATTCATGATCTCAGAAGGGAGACACATGGACCGTTAAGACTCAGGAAACCACTTTGGGTTCCAGATCCGTAGGGTGGAACTAGGAATTGACACACACAGCTATTTTAAAAGCTGGCAATGAAAATCATGCCGTATCTGCTTCACATTGTTGTTAAGTCCCTTGGAGTCGGTTCCAACCCATAGCAACCCTGGATAGGGTTTCTGAGGAGTGGTTGATGAGCTTGAATCACCTATCTTGCAGTTCAAACTGAACTTGCAGTCCAGCGCATTAACCCACAGTGCCACACCAGGACTCAGAAGAGAATGCTAAATAATTAAATTGGGGTTTGCTTTGGAAAGCAATTTGGCAATTTCTTATGAAGCCAGAAATTCCATTCCTAGGTACAGAAATGAGAACAGGGTCACAAAAATACTATAGTAGTTTTACTGATATTAGAAAAAAAAATTGTAATCAACCCAAATATCTATTCAAGGTGAGCATGGATAAATAAACTGTAGTTATGTTCATACCTGGAGTCCTGGTGTGGCGCCGGGGGTTAATGCGCTGAACTGCAAGGTCGTTTGAACCGCAACGTCAGTGGTTCAAGCTCACCAGCTGCCCCTTGGAAACCCTATACAGGGTTGCTATGGGTTGAAACCAATCAATGGCACTGAACAACAACAACATGTTCATGTATACTAGACTCCAGGTGTGGCGCTGTAGAATCAGCACTGGACTGCAAGCCACAAGGTCAGCAGTTCAAACCCACTAGTTGCTCCTCAGAAACCCTGTACAAAGTTACTGGATGTTCGAACTGACTGGACAGCACTTAGCAACGTTCATACTACTTTGCCATCAAAAGGAACGGGCCTACTGATACACAAACCAACATGACTGAATTTCTGAAACATTAAGCTGAATACAAGAAGTTAAACAGCAAAGTCTACACTGTGAGGTGCTGGTGTTGCGTGTCTTCAGCTCATATAACAAAACAAAGCACTGCCCAGTTAGTCCCCACAGTCATTGCTACTTTTGAAGCCAAGGTTGTGCAATCCATTTCTTTGAGGGTCCTCCTTGTTTTTGCTGACACTCCACTTTAGCAAGCATGATGTCATTCTCCAGGGATCGGTCCATCCTGATAACATGGCATTACTCAACGTAATGAAGCACACAAAACAGCCACACAATTTTGAAAAAGTGACAAGCAGATAGACCAGGGTAGCTGACTTAGTTGGCTTGGGAGAGCTGAATCTCAACCCCCAAACTGGAGAAACCAGAAAAGAACCATTGTTTACACTTTATAATCAGTTACTTCATAGGACTGTTGTAATGATTCAATGGGGTATTAGTAATGTGTTTACTAGCACACAGGAAAATCAAACCCAATACCCAATGCCATCCAGTAGATTCCTTGCAGAAGGACATCATGCTTGGTGAAGTTGAGGGGTAACCAAGAGAGAGAGAGAAGCCCCTCAGTGAGATGGGCTGTCACAGTGGCTACAACCAAGGGCTCAAACATTGCAACGATTGTGAGTGGCTCAACACCAGGCAGTGTCTTGTTGTGTTGTACGTGGGGTCACTAGGAATCTGAACCAACTCAACAGCACCTAACAATAACAGGCATGACCTCTTCCAGGGAGCCAGCAGCTGAGAAAGAAAGGGCTACTTGACGGGCAAAGGATACCACACACATAAAGATCCTGAGGTGGGAAAGAAGTAAAGGCGGCAGTGGGAGAGACAATGAAGACAGGGAGGAAGAGATGCTGGAGAGACAGGCAAGCACTAGTTTATCTGCAGGGAGTCCTGGTGTTTGGACCACGAGATTGGTTTGAACTGAAAGGTGAGACTTCAAACCTACCAGCCATTCCTTGGAAACCTTACACAGGGTTGCTGAGTTGGAACCAACTTCACGGCACTTAATAACAAGAAATTTATGCAGACCTTAAAAAACAGGACAATTAATTTAGATTTTATTCTAAAAGCAATGGAAAGCCTTTGGGAGACCTTAAAGAAGCGTGTGCTATGATTGTTGTTAAGTGCTGTCGAGTCGATTCCAACCCATAGCAATCCTGTACAGGCTTTCCGAGGCCGTAAATCTTCACAGGAGCAGAAAGCCTCATCTTTCTCCTGTGGAACTGACCTTGAGATTAGCAGCCCAATTTGTAACCATTACGCTACCAGAGCCCCTTGGTATGATTGGTTGGTGTTAAAAAGAGCACTCTGGCTATTATAAGGAAGACAAATGGGGAACGGGAAAGAATGGAGCCAGCAACCAGAGTGGGCTCCTTGCTGGGGTCCAGGGGCTGGGTCCAAAGACAGAAAGAGACCACCTTGGGGGATATGTTTTGCAAATGATCCTTGGGAAAAGGCAAAAAATAAAAATAAAAAAAATAAGTTGTGGGTAGGTCGGACATGGAGGGGTAAGGGAGAACTTCAATATGAAACCTAGGCTTCCGGTTTGTACCATTTATTGACACGGAAAATACTATAGAAGAAACAGGTTTCAGGGTGAGTGAGTACATGTCAGTTTTGAAATGCTAAAGGGTCTCCATGAAGAGATGCCAGGTTGAGCCGAAGTGTGGAGGAGAGGAGAGGCCTGAATTAAAGCAGCCCGTCTATCAGTGGGCCGGGTGGAGAGAACATTGCAACTTATAGGAATGATGGGATTACCTGGGGAGAGCTGAAGGAAGGAGCAGACCCTTAGCCCCAAATCCTACCAAGGTCTACTCTCCAGAGGACAGGCAGTGTCGGATTACCTAACAGCAGTAAGTATGGCTTACTTACTCATCTGTAGTGAACAATTCCCCATTCTTTTTTCATTGCATCAGATTCTGCTTCCAGACATGGCTGGCATCTGTCTCTCTCCCAACCCCAGAGCACCTTCCTATAGAATGAGTGCCTCTTCTCAAATCCATTATCCCTGAGAGGGACTGAGTACCCACTCAGCAAGGTGAGTGCTGGCTTATGTGTGCTTACTTTACCTTCATCATGTGTGTACTGTTGGATGCTATGCAGTCAGCTTTCAGCACAGCAACTCTGTATGACAGAACCCAGCTGCATTATAAGGTTTTCTAGGCTGTACTATTTATGGGGCAGAGCAATAGGTTTTATAAAGCTACTGTGTAGGTCTGAAAGCTCTGGTACCAGAGTGGTAATGAGTCTGGCTGCTAACTTCAAAGTCAGCAATTTGAGCCGTTTCATGGGAGAAAGGTGAGGCTTTCTGCTCCCATAAAGATTTATAGCCTCGGAAACCCTATGCAAGGTTGCCAGTCGGAACTGACTCCATGGCACACCACCACCACCACCACATGTGGTTTTGTAGGCAAGCACTGAAGCATTGTAGAACCAGGGCTGGTAAAAAACAAAAACCCAAACCTACTGCTGCTGAGTTGATTCCAACTCATGGAGACCCTAGATAGGGTTTGCAAGACTGTAAATCTTTTACAAGAGCAGACAGATTCATCTTTTTCCCAAGGAACAGCGGGAAGGATTGAACCACTGACCTTTTAGAAGCTCAATGCCTAACCTACTATACCAACAGACTCCTTTGACCACGATTGGCAGAGGAAAAACAAAACAAAATAGTAAACTAGACAGTGCAGTGGGAAGGCTTCAAGGAGAAAGGAGGGGCCAGCAGTGTCTGATGGACTTGAGAGACCCAGGAAGGCAAGGCCAGGAAGGTCTCAGTCTGGCAAAGTGGACGTAGTTGGTGCCCTTGACAAGAGCTGTTTCAGGGGTGTGACTGGGGCAGAAGGCAAATTAAAGTGAACTCAAAACAGACTGGGAGGTGAATGAAGAGACGAGTGTGTCTTAAAGGTTCTGAAATCGCTGAGCCCTGACAGGTTTTGACTATGGCATTGTTAGGTGCCATTAGTCAGCTCCCACCCACAGTCAACTGGGCCAATACTTCCTCCACATTGTTCTGTTTTTTTGGTCTCGTCATCATACACCTGAGCTTACTCTTCTTTTGCTGGCCTGTCATACTCCATTGTATGTGCCGTGGACTCGGTTCCGACTCACAGCGACCCTGTACAGGGTTTCCGAGGCTATAAATCTTTATGGGAGCAGAAAGCCTCATCTTTCTCCCGCGGAGCAGCTGGTAGTTTCAAACTGCTGACCTTGCAGTTCGCAGCCCAACTGGTAACCACTACGCTACCAGAGCTCCTTTGTACAGACATTCCGTAATGTATTGATTCCCTTATCGATGTGTAGTTTAATTTTTTTTCTTGCTTCTACACATAGAGCAAGGAGCACAGGTAGCTGGTGGTTCCGAGTCAGGATGCTAATCTCATGGTCAGCAGTTGCAAACTACCATCGGTTCCGTGGGAGAAAGACGAGGCTTTCTGCTTCTGTAAAGATTTACAGCCTTGGAAACCCTGCACAGGGTGGCTATGAGTTGGAACCGACTCCATGGCACGTAACCACGCATAGAGCAATCATGTACCTCTCTGGCCACTTGTGAAACTTTGTCCTAGAAAGTTTCGCTAGGACATAATTGAGGCAGTGTTGTATGCCATCGAATCAGTTCCCACTCATGTTATTAGCTGCGGTCCAGTCGGTTCTGACTCAGCGACCCTCGGCACAGATGATTTGCCCATCGCTGCATCCGGTTTGCCATCCATCTCATTGGGGGGTCTTCCTCTTTTCCGTTGACCTTCCACTTTACCAAACGTGATGTCCATCTCCAGGGACTGGCCCCTCTGACATCACGTCCAGAGTAGGAGTGATGAAGTTTGGCCATGCTGGTTTCTAAGGAGCTCAGCGGCCCGGTGTAGGGCTTCCGAAGGGCGGCGGGTGGGCTTGAACCGCCGACCTTGTGGTTAACAGCCCAGACTTATCTAACGGCGGCGCCACGCCAAATATTGGCTTGGAATTTAGCATTCGAAACTTTCAATTTTACCAGATTTTGCCAAATTGCTTTCCAAATCGGTGGTAACCATGTACGCACGCACCAGCAGTTGCACAGGCATAGGCACGTGGGAAAGCTGTACAACCCCTGAAATGACAGACAAACTGGATAATACCTTTGCTCAGGACAGCATGCTTTTTGCGTTCACATGATGATTTAAAAAAAAAAAAAAAATTTCGGGGCACTTTTACAGGTTCAGACCCCCGCAGAATTAGCCCTTCCCTCCTGCCAGCGAGCTCACACGCACGCATGCTTCCGACGTCGACTCTGACGCAGAGGCTGATATGGGCACGCTCGACGTCGCGTCCTATTGATGCCTTTGAAGGCCCCCTTCCGGGTTGTCTGACGAAATTCAAGTGTCAGCTATTGTTGGTTGATTAGCTATCTTTTTTCAAAACAGGAAACTCTCTTCACAGACCTTTCTTGTTCTCAGGAACGATCCGCTTCCGTAGGAACGAGCCGCTTTCGGCTGGCATTTCACTCAGGCAGCGCGGCGGGCAGCCCGCAGGCCCTTGTAAGTCGCGCGCCGTGACCCCGCCTTCTTCCTTTCGGCCGGTGCCGCCATCTTGCAGGTATGGTGTGCGCGTGGCTCTGGTTTTCTGGGCTCCGCAGACGGGAGTCCCCGCTCTGAGACCGCCTAAGCAGCGCATTCGGGGTCCCGGGGATGCTCTTTGTCCATTCTGGGGTCTTCAGGCGGAAGCGGGTGAAGCCATCACCCAGAACTGGAGCGGAGGCCGGGATCTGGGGATCGGACTATAAGATGCTGCAGCGGGACAGACAACTTCAGTCCCGAACCTTTCGGACGCTCCGGGGTCATTTAGCGCAGCTTGTTCGCGTGGCGGCGGCGGCGGGAGCGCGTGTGAAACCCTATAAGGCTCCGGGCTGTGCTGGGAGGTGGGGGTGCTCCCATCGGGACCCCCGGAACGTGGTTTCTCCCTGGATCCCGAGAAAGACGGGCGGCCCAGGGTCTCAGCCCGGTGTCTCCGGCTAGAGCTAGATCTCTATCCAGGTCCAAGTCGCGTTGTGCCTTTACGTTTTAATAAGGATTTTGTACTAGTAGGGGTCCTAATTTCCAGTTGAGTCTAACTTCGTGTAATCCTTGTCGGTGTCATAGGGAAAACTGCTTTTCTTACTTGCTTTCAATAGCTCATATAATCCCAACCCTAGTTCTTCACTTTTCTGTTAAAAAGCATGGACTGGGTACACGAATAAAATGTGTTTTCATGTTTTTTAGAACGTCGGCTGTTTGGGTAGACTTGTTGTTTTTGAAGGGTAAAGTGAGCCGGCTTTTTACATTATTCCCTAGTTGTTTCACGTTACAAGTAAACCACAGACATCTGAGATGACAGGCTTCTTGTGTGGATGGTCAAATCTACTGTCTTGAATGACGTTTATTTACCTTTATATTTTCTGCTTGCAGTAATCCCCCAAGATGACGAACACAAAGGGAAAGAGGCGGGGTACCCGCTATATGTTCTCCAGGCCTTTCAGAAAGCATGGTAAGTAGGAGAGGAGATGTAGTATTTTATTACAGCGGTCGTCATGTATTAGCTACATGATGAAACAAATAGCTACCTTATTAAAAATTGCTTATGTTACCTGTTAAAATTGTGTGTTGAAGACTGTTATGATCGCCTTTTTTATTTTCGAAATGCTAAAAATTTTCTTAACCTTGATGCTAACTACTAAAATGTTTTGCAGGGGTCGTTCCTTTGGCCACATACATGCGAATCTACAAGAAAGGCGATATTGTGGACATCAAGGTAACTTTAAAATGCTGTTGGAATCTGGTTTGTGACCACCACACAACAGAGTGTATTGTGATGATTGTCGCTTTGATTGCTTTGAAGCAATGTGAAAAACCCATTTCACCGGCTCTGAAAACTCTTAGGTTGACATTGGTGGTGGTGGTGTGTGTGTGTGTGTGTGTGTGTGTGTTGGAGGGTCGAAGGGTGTCAAAACTGTTGGTGTAGCATTTTTGTCCTTTCTCCTAGGGAATGGGCACAGTTCAAAAAGGCATGCCCCACAAATGTTACCACGGCAAAACTGGAAGAGTTTACAATGTGACCCAGCATGCTGTCGGCATTGTCGTGAACAAGCAAGTCAAGTACGTGATGTCCTTCCTTTGGGCTAAACTTCCTACCCCCTTTTCACTTTGCCAGTGGGACTTATGTCTTTATTGGTCATTCAAGCGGGGCAAAAAAAATCCTTTTTAAAACTCAGGCAAACTGAATGTTTGTCTTGTATCCTGTCAGAGGAAACAAGTTCAAATGAACTTTCTGGAAAGTTCTGCTTAAGCAGTTCTTGTTTTCAGAGTGTTTTTTAAAAGAGCCATTTTAGAAGTCAGTTTTAGCAGTCTGGCTTTTTTTTTTTTTTTGTAGTTTAGGGGGTGTTCTCTTAATAGGAAGAGAGCCTAAGAATTGGGGATGTTTGCCTCAAAGTTTTTTCCAGAAAATAACAAAAATTTTCCAAATTTGGGTTTTTCTTTCTTTCTTTCTTTCTTTCTTTCTTTCTTTGTTTTTTTGATGAAGCCTTTAAAAGAATTTTTGCTTTCTCTAGGGGTAAGATTCTTGCCAAGAGAATTAATGTGCGCATCGAGCATATTAAGCACTCTAAGAGCCGAGACAGCTTCCTGAAGCGAGTGAAGGAAAATGATCAGAAAAAGAAGGAAGCCAAAGAGAAAGGGACGTGGGTTCAGCTAAAGCGCCAGGTAAGTGTTAATAGGGGCTGTGGGAATTTGTTTTGGGGGAGGGACATTAAAGTTACCATTCAGTGATGGGTTGTTGTTTTTTGCCCGGGGGGAGGGGGGGTCTCAATTTAAGACTAGTTCATTGACTGAGCAGCATTTTGCAGTTACAATTGCAGTACTTTATATAATTGTTCCCCCCCCCCCTTTTTTTTTTTAAACAGCCTGCTCCCCCCAGAGAGGCGCACTTTGTGAGAACCAATGGAAAGGAGCCTGAGCTGCTAGAACCGATTCCCTATGAATTCATGGCCTAACCGGAGTGAAATAAAGATGGCTGCTGAGGTGTACAAATGTGTGGAGGTGTGGTGTGTGTGTCCCCCCCCCTCCACCCCAAATACGTAGTATTTAAAGCACATTGTGTTCCCCAGTTTGCTTGATAATAAATGCTTTTACTGTTGAAATGCACTGCTTGTTGAAAAGTGCCCTGCATTTCCAGTGTATCACTTGATGCTGCCATTTCTCTTGTGTTTAGAGCCTTGAAAGTGACCGATTGTAGCCCACAGAGGGTATTTAGGGGGTCTTCCCACCGGGGTGTGACAGTAGCATCGCATTCAAGTGTCCAAAGAGGAGTTGCTCATCTCCCGTCGTAGCCTGCTGCAGAATTTGAAATGGGTGCACCTGTGAAGGGGAATCCTGGGGTGGTGCTGTGGGCTAATGCGCTGGAATGCAAAGTCTGGTGGTTCAAGCTCAGCAGCCGCTCAAAGACCCAATGAGTGGGAACTGACTCCACAGCACCTAACCCTTCTCATGCATCACGTGCCCTTCCGGTACTGCTCCCACTTTGCTGCTCTCCTTAAACCTGGATCATGCCCCAGCCCAGCTGCTTCAGGGATGCTTGTGGTTTCTAACTAGAATGGCTTCCCCCAGGAGACTCAACTGTGCTGATGCTGGAGGGTAAACAGCACATCTCAGAGTTGGAACCTACTCGAAGGCACTTAACATTGGCTGCCAGGTGGGGTACTGTATGGTAAACACTGGACTGCAAGGTCAGCAGTTCCAACTCAACAGCCGCTCCTTGGAAACCTTCTGTTGAGTCAATTCAATGACCCTATATAGGGTTTCCAAGGAGCAGCTGGTGAATTTGAACACTGACCTTCCAAACGACTTGCGGTCTAGGGCTTTATAAGACCACACTGGTACTCCTTGGAAGACCCTTTACAGCGTTGCTATGAATCAGATAAATGAGGGGCTCTGCTGGGGCCATTTTAAAGGTTTTGAGTCGGGAACACTTTAGGGTCACTGAGTCAGAATTGACTCCCCTGCTGTGGGTTTGGTTTTGGTTTCAATATTTGGCAACCTGGTTTCTTCTTTTGCAGAGGACCAGGTTCCTGCACTTGGCCTTTACTCCCAACCCCAGTCTGCATCTGACCTGACCTCTCAGGGTGTGCCTTGGTTCTCAGTAAGAGCAGCATCTGAGAGCTTGATAAAAACGTGCCCGTGATGGAAACTTAACTCCAGAGATCCCGTGTAGAAATTGGGATGAGGCCAAGCACTGGGTTCTCCCAAGTCCTTGGGGTCCCACCACTATAGAGTCCATTCTAACTCATCCCCCTTTTAGGAAAAGAACTGGTCCCTAAGGGTTCCGGGACTAGGGCTTTGAGAGCAGTCTGCTTTTTCCCAGAGAGGCTGATAAGTTGAACCTGCCAACTTAATTAGCAGTCTAGCGCTGAACCCATTTTGCCACTAGGGATCCTTACTCTTTATCTGTTCAGTGTCATTGAGTCAGTTCCATCCAACCCATAGCAACCCTGTATAGGGTATCCAAAGAGTGGCTGGCGAGCTTGAACCGCTGACCTTGCGGTTCAAACTGACTTTGCAGTCCAGTGCATTAACCCACAGTCCCACCCCAGGCCTCCTTCCTCTGTCCAGCCACCTTTACTTCAAGACTCCAGTTCCAGAGCTCACCTCGGGAAGACCACATCTATATTTTCAAGTCTTGGACATCTCTATTGGCATGCAGTGCAGGTGCAAATTTGTAATGTCAGTGCCAAGATGAAGTCCTGTCAGCTCTGAGTAGGCTGATAAATGATGAGATCGCCATGAAGTGCAGCCCTTCTAACTACTGAGCATCCACCATAGAACGGGAGGGAGCACTAACCCCTTACTGTACAGTTCTCTTGTCTTAGACTTGATGAAAAGCAGTAACAGGCAAGTAGTAGGAAATGATGTGCCCTGTTCTAAAATGAGTTGTTAAGTGCTGTTGAGTCGGTTCCAACCCATAGCGACCCTGACGGGAGCAGAAAACCTCCATCTTTCTCCTGTGGAACCACTGGTAGTTTCGAACTGCTGACCTTAAGGTTTGCAGCCTGATTCGTAACCACTACGCAACCAGAGAGTAAGAGCCAGGATTTCAGATGAGGCTGCGAGATGCTGGTACAGTCTGTGAGCCAGCCAGGCATCCTCTAAGGCCTTCTGTTTCTGTTCACACCCAAAACCAAACCTACTGTCAGAGTCCCTCTAACCCCCAGCAGCCCTGCAGGAGAGAAGAACTCCACAGGGTTTCTGAGACTCAGTCTGTCTCCCATACGGCTGCTGGTCAGTTCTTACCACCAACTTCTAGGTTAGGAGCTGAGCGCTTGCACCATTTCCCACCACGGCTCCTAGTATTTGTTCAGTTAAGCCTAGTCCTAAGGGTTGGGTAAAATATGGAAAATTTCCCTTGAATAATGAGGGAAATAAGTCTAGTGCTTCTGTATTTCATTAGGATAGTCTGAGGACCTTCTAAAAGTTTGAAAAATGGAATCAAAAGATAATGGAATTTTTCCATAAGCTTTTTGAAGTGGGAGGAGGATAATGCTAAAATATAAACAGTTGCTAAAATTGAGCAATAAACATTGCTAAAATATGACCAAGTCTAATGTATCTTATTTTTTTGAGCACGAGAGAAAGAATTTAAAGTGGAATTTGATTCATTCAGAATATAAATGTTTATCATTTCTTCATTCCCAAACACATACTCCTCCAAATAAAAAGGGGGAGAATTGGTATTGTTCATGGAAAAAACTTTCAGACTCTTGTTACAAAGACATTGCTAGGTTATGACTAATGTCGTGGGACCCATCTGTAGCTGAGACTGGAAGTGTGTACAGAGGAGATGTACAAAAAAACCCCACGATAAAGTTCAGGCTAAGTGGTCAGACAGAGACTGTTGGAACCCGACACTGACCCTTAGTCTCCCTCTGGGTCTGGAAATGATATCACTCCCGTGGCTCAGTTTTCAACCAAATAGCAACACTAGAGAGGTACACACACCTTCCACGAATCAGCCATTTGAGAAAAAGGGCGGCATTTACCCCAGCACAGAGAGCAGGCTAGAAACTAGGAAGAGAAAGCAGGAGTAAGTGTTCTTCCAGCAAGACTAGGATTCATGGAAATCATTTGGATTGGAAAAGGAATGTAACGGAGTTCTCTTCCCTGTGCCTAGAATGAGATGATGGCTTAACTCAAGTGAAGGTGCAGTTGTTTGCTCCTTAGAAGGAAGCAGGGAGGCTCAGATAAATTTGCCCGCACATGGGAGAAGGCTACATAAACAGTTCTTAGATACTTGAAAGCAAGCATTATTATATCCAGCTTTTATGTGCCTTTGACCAGGTGAGCCCTGGGGTGGCGCTGTAGGATAAGCTATGAACTAGTTACCCAAGGTTAGCAGTTCAACCCACCAGCCACCCGGACACCCCTTTACAGGGTGGCTGTGAGTTGGAAATGGATTCGATAACACACATCAGCAATTGACACTTGAATTTACTACATTTCACCCTCAATGGAAACCTGGGTAAGAACCAAAGGTCATCGGTTCAAACACACCAGCCGCTCTATAGGAGACATAGATGGCAGTTGGTGCCTGTAAAGGGGGTTGTGTGCCGTTCAGTCAATTCGAACTTGTAACTTGTAGCGGCCCTGTCTGAGGTTTATGAGGGCTGCTGGGGATTGAACTGCTGACCTTGTGGTTACCACTGCAGAGCTGGGAAACCCCATGGAGCTGCTGTCCTGTAGTCTTGATGAGTTGGGATTTTCAGCAGTGGGTTTGCCTCCTTTGACCCGATGGCACTTCACCACTGCTACTTTGTGATTAGCAACCCAACACTTAACCAACTGCGTCACCAGGGCTCCTTAGTAAACTTAAAACATACAAAACCACTGCCATCAGATTGATTGAAACTCATAGCAACACTATATAGGGTTTCTGTGGCTCTAAATCTGTATAGGAACAGAAAGCCTCATTTTACTTCCATGGAGTGGCTGGTGGGTTTGAACTGCCAGCCTTGCAGTTAGCAGTCCAGTGCTTATCTTCCAGCACCACTAGAGCTTCCTACACGTGCATTCATCAGTAGCTTATAACTGATAATGGACTTCCTCCCGGACGCTGGGGGGCCTTCTCCTCGCTTGTCCTCCACTAGAAATACTGATCTGAGGCAGCTGGCTGTTCTTTGCATGCTATTCCAGCTCTTACCCAGAGTCTGGCAGAGAGCAGATTTTCAGTTATTTTGTCATAAATTGCGAATTAAGAGCGAGTGCACGGCTGAAGCATGATTTCTATTCTGGGGAAAAAGTGCTTCAAAGGTAGAGTTCTGAGGCTCCCCAGGAAGCGGAACACTCAGGGTGATGGGTGGGCGTGAAGGGGAGAGACATTAGGGAACCGCCGGAGAGCTGGCTGGCTCTCTTAGAGCCGATGTAACGCCAGCACAAGCTTACAGAACGGAAATGTACTTTCTCAGGGTTCTGGAATCGGGGGCTCAGCTCTGAAGACACCATTTCTGTAGAGATCCTGGGTGTTTCTCGTAGATGGTCACCACACAGCATCTGTCTACTCCTGTGTTTGCATGTCCGTGTCTGATCTAAGGAGGCCTGGTAGTGCTATGAGTTAGGTGTTGGGTTACTAACCAAAAGGTTGGCAGTTCCCTGGAGAGACATGAGGCTGTTGGCTTCCATCAAGCTTCACAGCCTTGGAAACCCTATGGAGCAGTTCTACTCTATCCTTTGGACTCATGATTTGGACCCGACTCCAAGGCAGTGGGCAAAGTGTGATGTGGGTGTCTAATCTGCTCTTTCTCTAACTCAGAAGTGACTAGATTTCAAATCCATGTTGCCTGGATATGATCTAGTTAACAGAATGAAGACAACCCTATCTCCAAACAAGGTCACATTCCAGAAATTTCGGATTTCAATATGTATCTGGGTGGGTTTAGGCATAATTTAATCTACAACAAGGACTCTTGGCAAAGTTTCACCTCATGGCTGGGATTCAAGCTTATTTGGCTGGTGAAGGGTT